TACATTACCTGAAGATGATTCCATATAAATATTACTAATCATGGCTTTGAAGTACTTGAAAAGAAGATTTTAAAAGGTTTCCCTATATATTCCTATGTAAAACTTTGGTCTTGAGAAGAAGATGAAAATGTGAAAAGTTTACAACGACGACAGACGACGGACAAATTTTGATCAGAAAAGCTCATTTGAGCCTTCGGCTCACTCAGGTGAGCTAAAAAGGGTATTCTAATAAAAAGACAGCTCGTATATAATCTCAAATGATCATTATCGGCAAGTTCATAGTTGGATGAGATAATCTCCATAATAGAAGACAAAAACACAAAATAATCAAATTTCCTATTATAAACAGGTACCCAAGATTATTTTTCTTCTTCAATTTCTTTAAAAACAATGAAACAAATGTATAGCATCCGAAAGGTCGGAAAATATGTCGATTTCTAAATTTTACCATTTTTATGCAAATTTTAATCAATTTTACAGCATATTTTCTTTCAAAAATACATAGAGCACAAGCTTGCCTATCTACCAAAGAAGATTGGGAACAAGACGTGCCGAATGCCTATAGCTTCAGATATAAAGAAATCATATAGTATTTAAAATAAGTTCTCATTATAGAAATATATATGGAATTATACGAAACAAATCTTTTCTGAGAGAAAAAAAAGTCATGGAAAAAATATTTCTTTTATTAAAAAAAAAAATCGGAGAGGGCTACATTACTGCAGCTATAGTATCAGATGCATCTTTTGTGTATAAACCCCAGATAGGCAAGCTTCTGTTTTATGTTTTCAGAAGTGAAAAGAATCTCAAATATGATAAAATTCCACCAAATTTGAGAAAATTCGGGAATTGTCTTATTTCTGCACCCTCTTGTGGCCTTCATGTAAGCTTTGAATTAAAATTAATGCTGGTTTTAAAACAAGCATCAATTTTAGTACAAACTATCGCAGTTTTAACTGTGTTCTGATTTTTACATCAAATTCAAAGCCAGATTCAATGGCGACCATATATACCAGTAACCTTGTCCTTTATTCTTTCTTTATTCCCCCTTTTTCAGGAGATTTCATTAGTTTACTGGGGAGTACATATGTATATATATAAATTAAATATCATTACAATTCATAAAGGAATCAATGGAAAAACAAGCTAATTCAGAGAATTCGTGTCCCCCGCTTAGGGAAAAAGTCGGCTCCCCCTGACTGAATTTGTAGAATTATTAAATGTATACATGTATACTGAAGGAAATAAAATACATGTATGTCAATATGCATATAAAGATTTGATTGCTTATTCTTTATAATGTGTATAGAAGATTTTTTCATATGGAATATTTATCACACTGTAATGATGATTTTATAACCTCTTAAATTTTTCATTTCACATGCTGAATACTATCATTTAGTAAAAAAAAAAAAGTATTTAAAAAAAAAAAAAAAAAAAAAAAGAACGATGCACCCGAGACTTTTCCCATTTTTCTCACATTTGAAGCGAGAGACATAACCACTAGACACAGAGTCGCTTTACTGGGAGTGAAGTATATGCAGAACTGAAGTCACATACATGTATATAATTCATGTTTTCATGTTCGGTATTCTCAAAATTTTACACAATCCATGGTGTTTGATTTATTTAGCCTTTATTAAACAGTTCTAATAGATGTAATAAGAACATATATCCGTGAGAACCTGTTTTATACGCAATAACTCTCCTCATGCTCCTGCGCTAAAAATAGCGACGTAATACTATAAATACTAATAAAACAAACGGGGCGGGGCACTTTGAGAGGGATGAGAGACGTCCTAGGGAGTTTTGGTATAAAATTACATTGCATAAGCTCAAAATCTTCCTGAAATATCGCCCGGAAATGATAGTGTTACACACAGACAGAATGTATAAATTTACGACCTTGAACTTTGACCTTTTAACCTCAAAATCAATAGGGGTCTTCTCTAGGCCACAGGGAGTTGTCATGTAAAATTTCATTGCAATAGCTCAAATGGTTGTAAAACAAGCTAGAGATATCGTGTGGAAACGAAAGTGTTTTAACAGACAGAATTTGCTTATTTATGACCTTGACCTTTGACCTTTTGACCTCAAAATCAATAGGGGTCTTCTTTAGTCCATAGGGAGTTGCTATGCTAAATTTCATTGCAAAAGCTCAAAGGGTTCTTGAGATATGTGTGGAAACGAAAGCGTTACAGACAGACAGAAAGACGGACGGACGGACAGACGGACGGACGGACGGACAAACCCAAATTAATATCCCCCACTTTTCAAGCGGGGGACAATAAGCAAAGTGACTGAATATACACGTGCATGTCAAAGAGGATAGTTGTAACAGATGTGTAACTTCAATCTCATAGAAGTTTTCTTCCTTGTTGTCGTTGTATTTAATTATCAAATTTTGGAATGAGCTATTTTTGTTCCTTTTTAGACCATTATATTATTAAAATATATTATTATAAATTGTGTTTGAGAGGGTGAATCTCTTGTATAATATCTCTCCTAATATTTGCTTATTTACTATCATAAGTGAGCTTTTCTGATCACATTTTGTCCGGTATCCCCCTGTCTGTCAAGCTGTCCGTCTATCTGCCCGTCTGTAAACTTTTCACATTTTCGACTTCTAAAGAACCGCTGGGACACTTTCAACAAAACTTGCCACAAAGCATCCCTGAGCGTTGTGTATCACGAAATTCTTGTTTTCATTTATTTTTTTCCCCAATAAATGATTTATTTCTCTAACATTTTTCATGTATCAAGGGTAAAAGTATATCTGTGTTGATAGTTAATATAAGAAGCGGATTAGAATAAGATGTAACAGCTTGTTTCCTAATCTTGTTTGACTTTCGTAATATTTTAGCTTTTTTATAACAACGAAAGCAACTGGTGGTCCGACCCCCCCCCCCCCCCTTTTGGATGTCCGCCTTTGACATGCATGTACATTTTCTTTTTAAATGCTAACTACATGTACGTGTATGACAACTATCCAGTGTTTTCCTGCGGCAAGCATTATTATTTCCATTTATTTACATGTACATGTGTACTATATCAACATTGTCGATAACTTTTATCAGAGGAAATATACAACTTAACTCCGCATTTCTGCACATCAATGAAATATTGAAAGGGGAAGATATGTAGGATTTTCCTGAATCTTGGAAGTGTTCTCAATTTTATATGCAGGAAGTTGAAGATGAATAACATATTAAATGCTCATTTAATAAATGCAAAACATAACAAGGAATGAGGTTGCAATTCATGAAAAGAATTTTCAAAATCAGCCCAAAATTCTGTTCTATGACACCTGTTGAGAAACCCATATGGATTTTGAAGTTTAAGGAATTTCATGCTTACGAAAAGGTAAAAGAACCAATGTATAATAAATACAAAATGGTAAAGGAACCAACGTATTCAATATAAAATGGTAAAGGAACCAACGTATTCAATATAAATGTCATGATGGATATGCAAGTTTTTTTTCCCTTCGTTTATTTATTTTTTATTTATTTATTTGTTTGGGGGACTCTACATTATACTACAATTATATTACAAAGCCATTGAAATGTATAAATAAGCGTATGATCATGTTTAGCATAAGATTTTTATGTTGTCTTGCAATCATTCATATTTTTTTCTGGATACTTGAATTGTCTATGATTATTGGCACTTAATACACATGTAATGTAACTTGATTATTTATATAACTGTTAAAAAGCAATTTTGTATTGTAAAATATGTTTAAATTTCGCATTTTTATATGACGTAGAATTGCTTTTCAGAACCTTGATTGGTAAATAAAGATATTTTGTATCTTGAATTAGTACATGTTTCACACCTTGAACAAAGGGTTTTTGCTGCTACCAAATCACTTGGTACACCCCAAGCCCAAGCTTCGTGGTTGGGTGACTCTGCCATTGTGTGCATAATTATTGAGCAAATCATTACCAATGGTAGGTTACGATCATGGACACAAGACAAGGTTACCAGACAATGAATAATGGACCCTGATATGCTATATAGTCAAAAAAATCTACATAGTTACATAAATTAGTACAGGAAGAAAGATCTCTTTCTCTTCCCCTGTCTTTCTTCCTGAATTAAACTTTATAGTTAAAATTAAAATATGAAAAAATAAATAAAAATTGATATTAAAATCACAAGTTAAAGAGAAATTTAAGAAATGTCTATTGATTGAATACTTAGGATTTACCGTTTACATAGGTACTTTAATCACAATTATCGCATCGAGAAGTGAGAAACAATAAAATTTTACTTACTATTTATTTTTTTTTTTTCGAATCAATATACAGATATGGACTGATTGGGACACAACAAAAAGTCTAAATATGATTTTTTTAAAGAGTTTCAAATACGCAGGAACCGTCCTATATTGCTCAAGTAGTGTACATGTATATCCGACCGTAAACCTTTCTTTTCCTGCTTTTCATTTTCTGTGGAATTCATTGTCTTCCAGGAGAAATTTATCAATTTTACCACCAAAAACAAATGTTTAATAATGCATGTGTCCACAAAACTAAAATGCTCCTTATTTAAATCCATTTAAATGACATGACTATCTTCATACAGAGATATTTGAATCTATAGATGTAAACCTGTATTGTGTTTGAAAACTACTCACTGTAGACCGTCACCTGACATGTAGATATTACCCCGAGGGTGTAATTATCACATCTGGGCCTGTACACAAAACAGTCAGGGTTAAACTATCGTTATCTTGATTAAATAATAAGAAACACACAAAGATTTGTAATTAAATAGACAGAGACACAAAGGACTTAATTTCTCGTGTGAAGCATGTACTAAGTATGTTGTTAAACTTTTCCCTCGCCATTCGATTTGGTCCCTCGCTTCGCTCGGCACCAAATCTCATGGTACTCGGGAAAAGTTTACCAACATATACTTGAATCACATACATTTAGTTTCCTGAATCTCTGTCTAATTAGCATAATTCATTGTATATTTCATTAATTATTTTTTTTACAATACGTCATAATTAGTGCATGGAAATTAAGGTGTCGGGTTCACACTGGGAACGTCTTGTAAGGATTAATGATTACCGATTCCTCCGCTTTGTAAGGTAAAATCCTGATGAATAATGGCCGCTGGCTTCAGCCATCCGTGACATGCCGGTTCAGCAGTATTAAAAATCAATACCTATATAGATCAAGGTATGACATGTCTTGGATACGTCAGTCAATTTGATCCGTACCCGGATGTCAGATTATGGTCAGTATCTCTTTAATTTATTGAAATTTATTCTGATTGAATTCTTTTAAAGATTATGTAACGTGGAGGCACGCACAACGTCTAAGAATAATAACATTTAAAACTGTATTTAGGAATATTGCTATATATATATATAATATATACATCTATAGAACGATTCTTCGCAGAGTTTTGACATCGCAACATGTCGGGGAAGGTAGGGGTGTGATAGTTATTCGGCGTGTCAAATACATATGCACTCTGTGCACATTTCCCAACGTTTTTCTCTCTGATATGAAGGTTTAGAGTCCAATGAAAAGGTCTTGTTTTGCAATTTGCACATATTCCTTTGTACAAACATAACGGCTTTTAAAAGAGGAATGAGCGAGAGAATGCCGTGTAAATATCTACAACAACAATGTTTTTAATAGATCAGAAGTGTCCACACTGCTGTTTATTTTTATTCATTTATTTTTTTAAGCTTAAAAGTTCAAATTCACGGTTCAGGTCGTCTTTTGAAACCAAATACAGCTTTAATTGTTTGATTTAAAGGTATCGTGTATTTATGGCCTGTACATGTGAGGCTTTGCCTTCACCACCTCTCAAAGTTATACGTCCATGTAAAATGACCCCCCGAGATAGCCCTACGTATTATTACACAATGATCTAGACGACCAAGTGTAATAAAATGTCAACCCTGTACGATCCAGTGGTTTCACTTCATAGTCAATTTAAATTGTCACTGCAAATCATAAACCGATAGATAGAACTGTCGAAATGGACTGTTAAGTGTTTTTAAAACAGTTGACAGAATTGTCGAAACTGAAGACGAATATTACATTTAATTTAAATTTCAGTATTGTAGAAATACAAATGGACACTGGTACTAAATGAAACACGTGGGGAAAATTATACAGGCGGGTCTAAACTAAAAGTAGAAACTTTGGAACACAGAGAGAGAGAGAGAGAGAGAGAGAGAACCAATGTCCAAGGCGTGGTTTCTAATATCCAAGCTCATGCCCCCTCCCTCTTCTGCATTTTAAAGTCGCTTGTTATGGCGAATGCAATTGTCAAAATTCGTGTTTGGTCAGGAAAACTAAGCAAGTGTCCTTTACTCATTAATCTGTTAACTACGATTACTTAATATATGCTTTGTATCATTGCACAATAATCTTATGGACAAACAGAGGGATACAAATCTGAAATTTAAAAAAAAAAAAAAAAAAGAAAAAAAAAAAAAAAAAAAAAACTAGTGCTTAACGGACGGACAGGAAATACTTGGAGCAAAGGGAGTGAATTAGAACAGCCAAACTTTAATAGCCGGTCCAGGTATGTCTTTATTTAAGCGTGAAAAGGATGTATTTCTGTATTAGGTAAATTTTCCAGTTTTATGCATACATTTTACATTTATTATTCTTAATTTTTAATTATATCATTGTATATAAGTCCATTTCTGATACTTTACCCAAAACTATTAAATAAGGAAAGGCCTTTTCGTTTCTCCCCAAACATTGCAGGTGGGAGTAATGGATTTAACACAGCTAGAAGTTTATTTCTTTACAGTTTCAAACTGAATGATAAAAAACCTAAGTGACTACATTATAACACATTTTTCATGTTTTTGGACTACGTGAAAATGGTGTGTAAAAATTTAATTTTGATCATTTTGCAGAAAAAAAGTTTAAAGTAACTCAGTGCGTCTTGCTTTTTTTAGAGGTGACTAGACAAAATGTCTTTATTTCATTCTGGTTTTTGTGGGATTAAATGATCTGACGATCGACTTGCGATCTTTTTTTACTATTGTTAATTAATCTTGCGTCAAATCACAAAAAAACATGTTCACCGTGATAATTATTACAAGGTACATGTAGTTCAATGGAAAACTTGTAAATTGTAGGAACCTTCGAATCAAATACAGAGAGTGAAGAACCTCAAACCTATATATTTTTATAATGGAGGATTAATTAATTAACTTATAAGGAAGTATGTCTTCAGTTATGTGTTGTGATACATTTAATGATTAATAGGTATAATACGGTATGTGTAATATTGTGTTACAACTGGTTAATCTGGCAGGACCGTTGGCTGTACAGTCCTCTACAAAAAATAGAATTAAATTGAAAAATTCTAAATCTTTGTAGATGGCAATGTATGGAGTGCCAAAGTTTTACCTAAACTTTACTGAAAATGCCAAGAACTCGAACTTTTTTTAGAAGAATGCATCTTACATGTATAAACATAACGTATCACTTCATAAAGACTTGAAAATCCACCTTTTCTATACCGTGCACCCTTCCCCCATTTTAAGAGAAAATCCTAGATCCTAACATTTTATAAATTTGCTTAAATTCTTAAAGTATTGGGAGATTATGGCGTGAAGATGCTGTAGCTTCAAAAGGAAAAATGTGATAGAACTGAAGTTTATGAAATCTTGATATATAGAGAAAAATTCTCATTAAAAGATAAGAAATTGGGTTATGAAAATTTATCTCATAATGTGGATGATACAATCTGAGATGGACATATGCTCTATCCACGGGTAGCTGCTTTATTAATAGCACTTCCGGTTTTGAGACAATTTGACAATCTCTCCCTTCAAGATTTGAATTTATCGAAATTTCAAATTTGTAAAAATTCTTTCCTTAAAAATGAATGATATAAATGAAGAAAAAAATTCGGTGGTGCTACGGCTTTCATGTTTTACAGGTATATATCTTGTGACAAGAACTTTCTTTGGGTACCACCGAATTTAAAACTTGACCTTGACTTTGGAGTTTGACCCACTTTTACCAAAAAAAAAATCTAAACTTTAGCCTAAGCCATAACTTTTAAGCAGTTTGTGCATGAGTATGCTAATATAGTATATCTTTTGAACACAGTACTAGGGCTGTTATATTTAACAAGTTACTAGAGTATTGAATTTCCTTATGACAAGACCTTTCTTTTGAATACCAGCAATTTTGACATTGATATTGAAGTTTGACCTACGTTTGAAAAACTTCAACCCTTACTAGAAGCTGCCACACGGGGGCATCAGTGTTTCACAATCATATCTTGTTTGCACAATTTTATTTTGTACCATATATTTATGTTTTTACGTTTACGACATCCACTATACCGTAAGAGGAAATGATTGTTTTGCCCTTTTATTGTGTATATATGCTATTTTATTGACAAATTCAAATTTCATGAGACATAAAGGAGATTCTAACTAAAGCATACGTTGATGTTAAAAGAATATTTAAGAAAAATGTGTTTTAACAGATTTTACGCGTCATATTTGTTGCACCATAGCCTTCTGCTGACCTTGTTAGTACGTCTCCCCGCAGTATTTTAGGAGACGTTTTACTATTTTTGCACATTTCCACCTGCAGATATTCTCTTAAATTTGTGAATCATAAATGCATCCTACCTGGTAATAAATTTTTATTTCTCATGTTATAAAATTTTATGGATGGGTGATATAAAATTTTATGGCGATATACAACCCAATGTGTCGTTTACAAAACACCAGTCAAAAGAAGGGAATTTGAATTGAATTAATACCGTCAGTTTTATATTTGCTGTTAAAACTTTTTTTTCTTTTGGGAATCAATTTATGCCTCATTTGAAAATGACCCACACTACTGCATTTTACAAAATGAAAACAAAATAATTCAAGTTTATAGATGAAGAAAATTTTAAAACAAGATTCTAACCTCTAATTTGTTTGACTAATTAACAGAATTTTGGCTGGTATGGCTTAAATAATGCTACACAGAAAATCATTTAATGCAAACACGATGTATGTAATTCCAGTGTTCTTTTTCAAAAAAAAATTTAAAAAATATTTAACACTGTTATCATTTAAATTTAGAAAAACTTTTGTTAAGTTTAGAACCACAAATCACCACCTCCCAATTGAAACAGGTAGATGGAATGGTACTCAAAGAAATGAAAGAGTTTGTAGCTTATGCAGTAGTAACCAGATAGGAGATGAGTATCATTATATATTAGAATGCAGTGCTTTGAACCAACTAAGAAAAGTTTATTTGAACCAAAATTTTTGTTCTAACCCAAATATCATCAAGTTTTGTGAAATCATGTGCCAAAATGATATTGATTCTTTGAAACAATTATGTACATTTATTTCTAAAATTAATAGTATTGTCTGTCCTTAATTATCACCTTCTGCTTGACCCACTGTATTATATGTATATATGTTTTATATGATTTTGTACCTCATGTACCATTTACATGGTTTTGAGAGAATAAATTGAATTGAATTGAATTTTCAAGATGGAATCAATTAGTATTTAAAATAGAGCATTCTCTATACATGAGATTTGTTCAATATTTATCGTTTCCATGGCAAGTATATAGCCCCTAAATACAGAATCAATACGTATACACTATTATTGACCCATCATATTCTATCATATATACAGCACTCTAAATCCCTCTATAAAAAACATACATTTATTAATCAATTTTCTATTGCTATTTGACTCAGACTTGTTTATGAAGAATACTTAATTTCAAGTACATGTACTTATTCTATTGCCCTCTAGTCTTAATCTTTTCATAACATTTTTTATTAATGCTAAAATCCAATTTTTTTTTAGAAATAATGATTTATGGAAAACTAATTAAAAGGGAAATCCTCAAACGGAAGGTAAAAGATTAAATCTTTTTTAAAAATCGAGATAGGATACTACAACGGAAGAAAGTGCTAAAAAACAGGAAGGGGGAGACTTTAGAACACGATGTAACTTAAGAAAAAATGCAGAAGTTAAATCTTTTTTTTTTAAAGTTGTCCTTGCAAATTTAATGCCATGAAGAAGTTGCAAAGTTGTCTATATATTCTGATCTTTTCCCAAGTGCTATAAAAATGGCACCAAAAAAAAAAAATAATAATAAATAAAAAAATAAACAGTGTACATATAAAAATTGTCAACTTCTCGTTGTCATTAAAATCAACGTTTACATTTTGTTTTTGTTTTTTTTAACAATGAGCTTCCAGGAATGTGTTTTATTTCTCTCTGTGTGAAGAGAAAGCTTACGCTCAAAACAGAGACACTTGTCTCACTGTCTTTTCCCCTTCCCTCGCTTTTTTTTTTTTTTTTTGTTGAGTTTTGATCTTTAGGATTGCCTTTGTCCGTTTTAATTTTTGTTATTTTATTTTTCATTGTATTTATTTTTTATCTGAAAAAACCTCTCTCAAGTTGGAATATGGGACAGCCCCATCCAGGCTTTCAAAATGGTGAAAACGCTACTGTTAACGATAAACTTACTGAAGTATATAATAAAGTGAAACTTGTTAAACAACTCTCATGTCTTTGGTATTGTGTATTCGGTCTAACATACCTGGATGACTTTCTGTAAGGGGCGTTGTCCTCTCTAGCTAAGACATTTAACCAGTATATGACTGGATTCTACATCACACTGCTTTATTTTATTATCGAGTAACTCTTTTATCCATGAAATTTTAGTGTCGATATTTTTCTTTTCAATTTAAAGAATCAACTTGAAGGGTTTTTTTTTATTTTATGGGAAATTATACCTGCCTACCAGGTATTTTTTCATCGAAATGTAACACTGTTACGGACCATTTACCCCTATTACAGTGTGTACTGTTGGCGACCTTCAAGCAATAAATAAAAACATCCTTATTATTTTGACATGGTCTGGTGAAATTGAAAGTATACATGAATTTAAACGCACTCGAATATGTTAAATACTTAAAACTGCACAGAGATCTTAAATTTAGTTGCTGTTCAAATTCTTTAAAAAGACATTATAAATTGTCCCCATTCAGTACTTATAAACTGATAAAGGAAAAGAAGCGTCCATACTTCATTACTTCGCGGGACCCTTTTCCTTTCATGCTGACTCCTCTTAAAGTCGGGGAAGTATAGATGTTATCATAATGGATTTATCTTTTTCAAAAACGTGGAGAGGAAAGGGGGACCAAGAGGAAAAAATTCTTGTAGGTGTATAATTATAAACAGGTACATTCCTCAAAATGTACATAATTTGTGGGCAGGGTGGGACATTAAAAATGGCCAAATTGGATTTGGCAGTAATGTCTGTTTTCCAAGAAATTTTAGACAAGGGTCATGTCAATTTTTTCTGCCCCCCCCCCCCCCCCCGCAACCTTCAAAAACAATGCAAATGCCTAAATTTCAATGTGAATAGGGGATGGCCTTTCTCCGGGTCCGTGACCAAGAACGTAGTACAATGTACACATAAAAAATGTTTTCTGGTCTTTCAGATTATTTTGTTTAGATTTGAGATAATAAATACTAAAATAATCAATTAAAATTGGTCACAAATTAAACAACCGCAGAAAATATTTTGTTTATGAGAAGAAGACAAATTTCAGTTATTCTTCATGAACAGCGATAGAATACTATAGTTACCATCCCATCCCTTCAACCACGCAGATACTATATAAATTCGATCTCTTTTCACTTGTGATATTTTTCCCTGACTAAAATCTTATCCTAAAATCTGATCAACACGAACTATAAAGTGCAATCGCATCATCTTGGGAGTAGGTCTATCGTATCTCATACGTGAAAGGCACATAAAATACAAACATATAATAATAGCTCTGATAATTTATTTACATCAACTGACTTGGATTTCTTTTTCTTTTTCAGATCTAGAATGAGGAGACAGTGGCGTACAAACACTATATGCCTTGGCTTGGCTTTTATCAGTGTAACTGCTTGGATTTTCTCTAGCCAAATTTTCAGTTCAAAGAGGTCAAAGAAGTTTGTTGATGAATTTGAAGTGACAAGGACCGTGAACAAACAGTATTTGTTACATCCGCAGGCTGGGGTGGAAAACGTGGAAAACAGGGACAAACGCTACTCACAAGTCAAGCAGGACGAAGTGGTGTACGAAATTCTGAAAAAAGAAGGAGGATTTTTTCTTGACATTGGTGCTCACGATGGTCAGTTTTTGTCGAACACTCTCTGGCTGGAGAGAAAACACGAATGGACCGGGCTTCTGATCGAGGCCAATCCGGAACTCTGTGAAAAAATAGATCAGTTAAAACGGAATGCCTGGAGACTATGTGCGTGTTTGTCAAGAACTCAGAAAAGCGTCTCCTTTATCAAAGGGGGTGGTGTGGGAGGGATCGCAACTCACATCGATGAGCACCACATGAAAATGCTGGACCAGAAAAACAAAATAACTGTACCCTGCTACAGTCTGGAGCAGATTCTGGATTCTATTGGAATTCACCATATTGATTTTTATTCACTAGATGTTGAAGGAGCAGAGATGGCCATTCTAGAATCCTTGAAGCCTGGACTAGTGTCGGGCGCCTTCACGGTTGATGTTTGGTCCATTGAGTATAGAGTGTGGGATGGCCAAAAAATAGTAGTGGACGAATCCATAAAGAATCTGATGGCCTTAAGAAACTACTTTAAAGAAATAGGAGGATATTTTGAACATTCACAGTTGTCAACGGATGAAAACAACAAGGATGGTTATGCTCTGGATGTAGTGTTTGTTCGTACAGCAACATGGTGTAAAACCCGAGAAAGTTTTCCTAACGGGACAAGCTGCCCGGGAAAGGAGAAAGTGTTTCATATAGAAGACTATCTCATGGCCCCTCACCCTATTAGAAGAGTGGAGAATGCAGACAAAATGTATTCCCAGGCCGAGCAGGACAAAGTGGTTTACGACATTGTTAAAAAAGATGGCGGATTCTTCGTTGACATTGGTGCGCACGACGGACAGTTCCTATCCAACACGCTGTGGTTGGAGAGAAAACACAACTGGACAGGTCTTCTGATCGAAGCCAACCCTGACCTCTGTCGGCGAATAGATCAGCTGAAGCGCCACGCCTGGAGAATGTGTGCTTGTCTGTCCAGCACGCAGAAGACCGTGTCCTTCATTAAGGGGGACGGGGTAGGGGGCGTCGAGGAGCACATTGACCAACATCATATCAAAATGTTGAACAAACAAAATAAAATAGTGGTACCCTGTTTTAGTTTGGAAGATGCTTTAAATAAAATCAAAGTCAGCCATATTGATTTCTATTCACTAGACGTTGAAGGCGCAGAAATGGCAATATTGGAGTCTCTAAAAGACGGACTGAAATCGAAGCGTTTTACTGTGGATGTTTGGGCGATTGAGTACAGAGTGTGGGACGGACAGAAAGTGGTTGTGGAGAAAGCTTTAGAAAATTTGAATGCATTAAGAAAATATTTCCAAAATATTGGTGGATACAGTGAACATTCTCAGCTTTCTAATGATGGGAATTTTAAAGATGGATATGCGTTAGACGTTGTGTTTGTACGTAACGAAATGTGGTGTAGGACTCATGACAAATTACCAGATGGTAATCCTTGTGCGAAATAACGCAAGTGACTCTCAAGGAGAGTACTTGAAAACAAAGAATCTCAAACACATCCGTTTTGATATTGAGTATTTTTCTATGAGAATCATTAAAATAATATGAACGTCTTGTTGAATGTTTTTGCAAAAGTTTTGTTTCGTGTTAAGAATTGAAATGAGATTTTTCCATATCATGCAGTGTAGAAATAAAATGAACATAAATTGTGCATATCTCAATAACTTGTATACTTGGTGTATATTGATGAGCGTGGTATGTACTAATGGCTAATGACACAATAAATGTTACGGTGATATACATGGATATCCAGGATATATGAATTAGCTTATAATGTATATTTAAGTTTGAAATTATCAACTAATAAATATAAAAAAAGCCACAGCTGAAACTTTTGAAAATCAAAGTTCGACTTGAATGTCGTTTGTTTGTGGCCAGTGGCGGTTGTATCTTTAATGATGGTGTGGCTTAACACCCCCCTCACCCAACCTACACACATATTTCGAAATTTAGAAATCTGCAGTAGACCATAAGTAACATATAATCGAAATATAGCAACCATTTTTTACAGTATCCAAGGGGAGAGAGAGCAAATGATCTAAAAATTGTTAAAATTCGACAATTTGTGTGATATGTGCTTGTATGTGTGTGGACGATGTGTTAAAGAGGGCGTGTGTGTAATGCGTTGGTACGTAAGTGTGCAATGTTATAACTTTCTTTCGATTGCAATTTCCAGGTTTAAAAAATTCCAATTTATAAAATATTACTGATGTATTGAGGATTTGTGAATTTTTACCCTGTAATTTTATAATTTATTGGAAAAAAAATTACTTGTTTCAGACATTAAATTCTTGTTATAATAAGTGCAACGTTTCTCTCTTTTTAATATATATTTTTGTAACTAGGTTCCTAGACAAACGAATGATGCAAGGAGTCAACGAACATCTTTAAGTTTTCAGGGAACTGTAATTTGATATAATAATTACAAGCTTTTTAGGGATATCTATTTGTAAGGTCCAGCACTCTCTTCATTTACCTATATTTAATTATAGATTTATTAAGCTATTCTATAGTAGCTTGATTGAGCAATTTTGTCATATCTCTCTGAATTTACAATTTTCAGCATCTTAAAAAAAAAGTCACAGACGTAGTTATACTAGTAGTATTTAACTTTCTATTGTTCTAAAAAGAAATTCACGAGAAAATGTTTACTCGAACGACATTGCTGTTGATATTGTAAATGTTTGGGGGCTACATAAAGCAATTGGATGACTTCTTTAAGGAAATTACAGCTGGTCAAGTTTGGTCAGCAAGACGATTGATTGGCCGTAATCTTACACTATGCAGGGTAAACAAACGTGTACTTATATATACGTGTACATGTCTCACCTCGTACAAGGTATGTATACCAGTAGTTATCCAACCTATGAAATTGAAGGGTACATCATTTGCTTCCAATTTAGTGTTTAGATATTCAAACTGTATCTTTTATTTGCAATACTTTGTTTTACCAGAATAAATACAATTTTGCAAAGTCATGTACATGTATTTACGACTTTTTGTCTCTTTCGCATAAATTTGATCTATTTTAATTAAGCTATGTAACAATTTAAAGCAAAATCAAAAAATTGTTCTGGACTTGATTTGATCACAGAATATTCTCTTTTTTGTGGATATTCCATCATGATTCGAATCGACTGCAAGTAAAGAATATTATGACGACCGTATTTCTCTGACTACAAGTGTAGACATATGATGACAGACGTATGCCTCTGACTACAGTTGTAGACATATTATGACAGACGTATGCCTCTGACTACAGTTGTAGACATATATTGACAGACGTATGCCTCTGACTACAGATGTAGACATATATTGACAGACGTATGCCTCTGACTACAGATGTAGACATATATTGACAGACGTATGCCTCTGACTACAGATGTAGACCTATGACGGACGTATGTCTCTTGGTTACTATGTCATGTGTAGACATATGACACAGAGTGGTTACAATGTACACATATTATGACGGACGTATGCCTCTTGGTACATGTAACTATATGTGTAGACATATATTGACAGAAGTATGCCTCTGACTACAAGTATAGACATATGATGACAGACGCTTGTCTCTGAGTGACTATAAGAGTAGATGTATGCCTCTGACTACAAGTGCCAACGTGGCCATTTTCTTTCCCGGTCCTTGATATTGCACACTATTACAACAAAGCTTGCAATTCAATCATGTGTAACAGCCATTCCTTTGAATAATTTATAGAAGATTCTACGGTCAATGAAAACACATAGTCGCTGTGGCGTATACCTTAGCTACCCCTGGCAACCTTTGTTAACGGCTTTATAAGCTCCAGGTAACAAGCGCCGTGAATTTAATTACAACACGTGGATAAATCGATATAGGCTGAATGTAGTCTTCCAGCTGTGATTGTTCTTAAATTTCAAAATGTATGATACAATGTTAGTACATGTATAATAGTGCACTCTGATCGATATAATCATGTTTACAGATCTGGATTTATTTTGTAGGAGGCACGTGTTCTTTCATGTTGTATTTTCTTTGATCTAATATATGGATATGTAATGTGTCTTGACAAAATAGTTATTGATTTATTCAAAATTTTTAGGAAGGGACATTTTGTATTGCTGTAATAATTTCATTTTTTAAGATGTGCAAAAGACTGAAAAATGATAATTCTTTTAGTTAAAAAATGAATCTGAAATCAGAAAAGTCGAAATTAATGCTTCCAGTAATACTATGACATGGTCGTTGGAATCGGGGGGGGGGGGGGTGTTACATGTACAAAACAAAGTAAAATGTTTATAACCTTAATAGGGTTGGTGCGGATCCAGCTTTTGTTATGATATTGATATAAGGATCTGATATTTTACGTACATTGTATACCTATAAAGCATGGTATAGCTTACAATTTTTGCTGATTACAAGTAGTATTTTTTTTATCTCATACAGATCTGTCTGACTGTAAGTCCTTACTTTAACACTACAACTATAAAATAATTAAAAAAATGTAAATATTTTCTTATCATATCAATATAATTCACAGTAGAATGTACACTTTTGTCTCGGAGTATCGTCTGAAAAAATGGTCCAGTTATGTTTCATATTAAAAGTAAAAAAGGAAAATTTTTATATGATTTACCCCATTCCCAATCCATAGATATTTTTTTACAACAGCTGAACACCATTAAAAGTCACAAAAGTCGAAATTATTTATTAAATGAAATGAATTAGATGCCATCGCTTTCAAATTGGAATATAAAGTATCCATGAATTTAAAAAAAAATTATTCCTGTAATATCTTTGGCTGGTGAGCAAATTTTATTTTTATTCCGTCCGAATATGGGGCACTTTATATGAAACGCATTTCATTATTTATTTTTTCCATGTCGTATTTGTGTTAATGATTTTTATAATAATATGTATATTTCATAGAGTATAGGATTTTCATATATATGTTTATTTCCTAGAGTATAGGATTTTTTTTCGTTAACAGACAAGATCTTGTGTACAGAAATATATCGAACTGATAGTATTTATTTTAATGGAGGTTTGACGCTCTTTAACACAGTTTGTTTATAAACCATGTCCTGTTAAATGGGTACAAAGACAAACGGTCACGCGTGACTCCACACTCGGAAAGCGAGCATTGGGAAATCGTAGCCATTTTAGATCTTTGGCAGCCAAGAACACCTTCCCGGATTGTTAGCAAATTATCTGGTCAGTATAAATATATATTGTTATGATCTTTTATTTCATTGCTGAAAAATAGTGTTCAACAATGCTAAGACGATAATATCACATGGGTTTACAGAGAGAATCATGACATCACAGTGTTGAATTGTAAAGGGGTATTTTTACATTTACTTGGGAGTAATGTATAGTTGTTGTCTATAGTGAAGTTATTTCATTAACCTTGTTAACAGTAGATATGATACTTTTGTTACTGTTGACATGCATGCCACATACCAGTCTTTATTTCCCACATAGTTTGAATTCAATGCTATATTTTTCCCCCAATCAATACTTTCTGTATTTACAACACATCATACCTATATTCTAAATCCACCTTTTTTTTTTTCTTTTTTTTTTTTTTTTTGCAAAACAAGCCCCGTTGTCTGATAAATATTTGATGTGTGATGTTTAAGATTGCTCACTCCACTGGTTTCATTTTATATGCTCATTTTTTTTTTAAAAAACTAAGTCTTAACTTCCCGTGTGTAATCAAAATTATTGTACTAAAGACGCGACAAGTGTAATATACAAGCGGAACAGCGTATACTCAGTATTGTGACAGTTTTGTTTATTTTTATGACTGTCACAAAAGGTATATTGTTTGATAGTTAGGCGTCCTAAAACAAACGGAAATGATATATTTAATTAAATATACATTATGATAAAGGTCAGTCATGCAAATGTGGACCAAAATATCTATCTTACTAGAGGATGTACGTGTACGAGTACCATTACCATAGGTCAGTGTATATAAACTAAATCATGCAGAAAGAAAAATTAATCCTCTGATCAAATGTTACCAAAATTCGCTCGTCTTTGCATGAACAGTGATTTGTATATTATAAAAGACTATAGAAATATCCCTTAACAAGATTAAATAATCAACAGAACTCAATATGCTTGTGTCAACAAGTCAAAGTAATATCTGGCAAAGGTTTTTTTTTTTTTAATAGAATATACCGCTTTAGGATATCAGACAGTAATATATATGTACATACATGTTACAACTGTGTTTCTTGCTGTATATACAATACGTATTCATTAATTTAGTTAAAACCACAATGCAAATCTTTACCCCTTCATTTTAATATGACGTTGTCAGAGACGTCTTATCGAGCTCATTTTCCACCCTGAGGGTCTTTGATAGAAAACAAAAATTGTCCAAAATTGTCAAATAGCAAACTTTGTTGACGTGTAGACCAAGGGAGTAAAATAACATATCATCTGACCTTTAAAACTTTTTTTTAAAAGTCTAGCCATTTATTTTTAGAAAATCTCTGTTTAAATCCTTCTTATGTTTGCAACTGCCACTTGAATGATTTTTTTAAAGAAACAAGTTCTTAATGTGGGTTATGACTTGCGATTAAAAAAAATATCGTTGTCCTTGCATTACTTACAACAGCGTTTGATCCGAAAATCTTTTTTGAATTGGACTATACATTGTATATCCATAGGCATTATATGAATATAAATTAATAACAAAGGTCCAAAATGTACATATACAAACGAATGAAAGAGACCGATAAGAAAGAAGAAAATTCTTTAAACTCTTTTTAATTATTTTATTCAGGTACATTTTCTTTTTTTAAAAAAGGTGAAAAATGAAATTAAAGATAAGCACTATATGAATACTAGTGTCCTTTCTGACATAATTTATTTTATCAAATAAACTGTGCAATATGACTAGTTTATTTGATAGAATAAATTATGTCAGAAAGGACACTAGGATTTCTTATAATACCACTTACAGAGACTGACACGTACGAGTGAATTATTCGATTTCAAAATTCCACTCAAGTTAAATGCAATAAGAAAAGTAAATTCAGCACTTCTTATATCCTATGATTTATATTTTTTTTTTCTTTTGTAGAAAAATAATCATTTTTAAAGCTCAGCCCCAAAATATTGCTAAAAGCCATCTAGGAAATTGAATTGAAAATTTTCTAGCTATCTTGAATTTAGTGAATTCTAGTTTAATCTATGCCTTGTCAGTTTTACATGCAAGATCCCGGATTTACGTAGTCGGGACACTTCGTGGCAGGATGTATGAATGACCTTGAGGTGGAGATCTGAGTGAGATAAAGGTCTTATAACGCGTTCAAGTGTAAATGTATGCTGAGCGTTGCATATTTCATTTTTACTATTTCTAATAATTTTTACTATTTCCTTGTACATGTATGTAGATAACTAGAGTATCCCTAATTCTTACACAAAGGAAGTTTATCCCTACAAAATGCGCTCAAAACATTGATGAAAATGTCCGAGAGAAATATATATATAATATTTAAAGATAAAAATTCTCAAGTAATTGAACATATCTGATTTTCGAACAGGTTCGAAAAAAAAAATTCTTAATGCGGGTTATGACTTGCGATTTAAAAAAAAATGTAATATTTATTGGGCCTATACCTTTGTCCTTCCATTACTTTAAACAACGTTTGTATTTAGATTCGAACAAGTTCTTACAGGTTACGGTGTTTCTCATCTTGAATGGATAAATTTTTATAAAACAAATTTTTTTAATTTAGGCATTCTATTTACAGGTACCTTAGAAGGCATTTTAACGAATTCTGGTATTCATCTATTAAAGTGTCATAAATCAAATAGAATCTACAATAAATTTTTAAACTAATGAAAAAAAAAGTTTGCTGATATCAGTACTTTATGTTTCGATGCACTATGTAAAAGCTATATTATGATTCTTATTCTGATTACAACACATGACTCTCCCTGACACGTTTATTCTTAGTACCTGTAATAAATGTTATTATACACCAAATATTGAAGTTTAAAAGTGCCTTTTTGCAAGTTACTCAAAATAATTCTTATTGAAAATAATTTGAAGATTTTCTTCAAATAGCCTACAAAAGTATATTCAATAGAGAATATTTCAAAGATCCTTTACAAACATGTACCAGTCAATCATTTCGGAGTCTGGGGCATGTTTTACAAAAGAACTTACTGTCTTTCCAAAAATGTTATTGAAGAATAAACTTTGTTCTTTTGACTGACAATTTGCCTTCCACCAGAGTTTGAACCGTTGGTTCCCCTACGCTCTATATACGTTGTAGGTATTAAGTAGCCAAACTAAGCATGCTAAGTATATATGTAGTTATGATGAGCAATGGTGCTTTTTTTCAAAATTGCGAATGTCATGGCCTCTGTTTCAAAGCGTGAACCAAATTCAATTATTTTAAAGATTTTACGTGATGTTCAGATGACCTATAAGACCCATAGGCCTCTTGTCGTGTTCTTATAAGAGAACCCCTAGTATGCATTTTATCTGTAACCTCTAGTCCGCCCTTATTTTCTTTTTAGATGTCTCCTGGTTAAGACGGGTCTAGAATCGTTGATGCCTTTTCTCTGCATTTATATAAATTTAATTTTATGTCTGGTTTCCTTAAAAATGTACAACAAAGGGGACCACTGGTCTCTCTATTTATGTACAATACAAGGTGACATTTGGTCCCCCTTGTGTTGTAAAATATAAAGTGACCTTAGGTCCCCATAATGATCAACAACATAAGGTAACCTTGACCCCCTATTGATGTACAAGGTGACCTCTGTTTCCCGTAACGATGTACAATATAATCTGACGTCTGGTCTTGTACAGTATAAGGTGACCTCTGGTCCCCTTTCTGTTGTACAATATAAAGGTGACCTTTAGTCTCCATAATGAAATAAAATATATGGTGACCTTTGATCAACCTACTGATGTACATGTACAATATTAGTTTACCTCCGGTCCACCTACTGACGAACGTTAAAACTGACCTGAAGGCTCTGTCCCCCTATTGATGTACAATATAAGGTGACTCCTGGTCCCCATTCTGATGTACAAAATAAGGTGTCCACTGGTCCCCCTACTGATGTACAATATAAGATGACCTCTGGTCCCCCTACTGATGTACAATATAAGGTGACCTCTGGTCCCCCTACTGATGTACAATATAAGGTGTCCTCTGGTCCCCCTACTGATGTACAAAATAAGGTTACCACTGGCCCCCTACTGATGTACAAAATAAGGTTACCACTGGCCCCCCTACTGATGTACAAAATAAGGTGGCCTCTGGTCCTCTATATGCTGTAGAACAGAAGATGACATCTGGTCTCCCTTTTGATGTACAATATAAGGTGACCTATGGTCGCCCTAAAGATGTACAATATAAAGTGACCTCTGGTCTTATTCACTTTTTGTTACCTCTGGTATTCGCATAAAGATTATGGGAAGAAGCGGAAGTCTTATTTTGTACATGAATAAAGATTTCATAGCTCACAAATTTGGTTTTTTCACTGAAAGTCTAAAACCTCACATTTTTGGCATTAGAGTTAACTACAGGTTGTCATTGTGTCCGTCTTATTATAACATTCAAAAACAAATATCGGCACAATTACAATTTCGGATTTTCCTTATAGTAAATTATATGCAAATTGGTCTAATTTTATTGTAACAGACAAGCACACTGACAAAGCCATTTCAGTTCCAACAGTTGTTGGTATTAATGTTTTCACTGGATACAAAATTACTAAAATTCTATGACAACCTTTTAGTGCCTATGTTGTTTTGGTTCATCAGAATTGTGCTTTTCATTTAACTTGATTACCAAATTTTATTCATTTTCATGCCAAGGCAGCTCATCCATAAAATGTATCCATAAATTGTTTAATACGAAGTGTATATATCTCAGTTGATTCGATACGCAAGAGCATGCTCTACGTATGAACAATTTCTAAAACGAGGTAAATTATTGACAAGCAAGTTGATGAAACAAGAATATCAGCAATCTCGTTCAAAGTCATCATTTCATAAGTTCTATGGTCGATACAATGACATTGTCAGCAAATACAATTTATCATTGAGTCAACTGCAGACTGACATTTTTCACACTAATTGTTAGTCCATTATTTATACACTGAATTGACAGCGTATTTTTCCGTTATTTCTCGATCATGACAAGGAGCACACGGCGGGTGTGACCGGTCAGCAGGGGATGCTCACTCCTCCATGGAACCTGATCCCACCTCTGATGTTTCGGAGGTCCGTGTTTGCTCTGCTCCTATTTTGTATTGTTTTATGGACTTTGATTTTGAATACTGTTCGTTATCTCCATATCCTTGTCAGTGTCTTTTAAAAATATTTCTTTTAGGCCATCCTTAAAAAATTGTTTGTTTGGAATTGCCACCTGAAGGGTTTCAGACACAGGAGGGAGGGAGGGAATTTTTTTTTTCAAAATTGAAGATAAAATTTAAATTTTTGATAAAAATCTCAGTAAACAGTAATTACATTTTCTGACTTTAAAAAATATATATACCATCAATAAAGAAAATAATTTTGCATAGAGCTGACCTACATTTTAGTGTTTTGTATGGCGCATGCGATAACAGGAAAAAAATTGATTAAATAAAAAAAATCTTCCTACTTTTGGTCAATAATTTTTTTTTCTGGAGGAGGCATTTCAATGAGGCGGGAGGCAATTCCAAACAAACAATTTTATTTTGGCCTTATTCGGAACCAGCTGTCTCTACAATTATGATAACTTTGTCATTTGACTTTCAAAAACATCATGTTATGGGTTGAAAATTCCTCATGTTATGTGTACAAAGTTTTTTTTTTACTGTTTTTATTGAATCATGGTGTGGTATATTTTAAATAAACTATATCTGAACATATGCAAATTTTAGTTTAATTTTCCTAAATTTGAGCTTTCGATGTCGAAAGAAATTAAAGTAGGGAAGAAAGTAGTCATAAAAACAAAACTTACTTTTAAATAAAATTTGTGGAAAGACAGATGTATTAAAATAAAAAATGACCTTTTGGAATTATTGTCTATCATAACATTTTCTATTCAAAAATTATTTTCTTTCATAAACTTAATATTATGTTTTTTTATCATAATTTTGAACTTTATTTTGGTAATATTCAAGAAGGCTCTTTTATCCATTCAAATGTCAGAACTAGCCATTCATATGTCAAAGTTTACATGTAAAAGAAGGTATTTTGTTGTATATTGAGGAAGTAGCAGTTCTTTATTGAATCTAGGCCTGAGGCCATGCACAGGTGCTTTGAGCCTGGTCAGCCGCAAGGGTCATCGGTGCATGTCACGTTATTTCAATTATCATGTTCAAATCCAAAAATGGTATAGTTTCTCACCTTTCCGACTTCCCTAAAATTATTCTTGAATTTGATTTGTTAATTACCTGTAATCCAAGGGCAATCTGGTGTCGCTGGAAATTTGACGGACCCTGGTCACTTCCATGCGATGCCTTGAACAATAAAGTTGTAATTTTTTATAATCTTATTTTTCCTTTGTATTTACAGGTATGTTACATTTTGGTTATATTTTTAATGTTATGATTCATCATATAAGTCTAATTTTGTTATTGTATTTTCTAAATTTGAGCTTTATTTTAAGTCTAGAAGTTATACTTTTTAAAAACATGTATGTTTATAATACATTGTAAGTTTTTGTAGCTTCTGTTATTTGAATATTAATCATTGCTAATGATTTACATTGTTAAGATTTATTTTAAATTTATGAACTTTAGAGGGTATTTTGTCACATTTATTGGTCACCCCTCTACACAGTCACCAGATTCTAGTTTAAGGAATATCTATAAAATTAAAACATTTTTTTGTAACTGGTGAGTGTTGACTGATGTTTGTAAAAATATCACTTCTATGCGACGACTTAAGACAAAAACTTCAGATTTTAAAATCTTGCAAAATTAATAATTCTCTTTAAAATTTTTTGTGTAAAAGATATCTTACCACATTCCTTTTAAAAAGTTTAAATTAATTTTTTGTTATAACGTTAATTAAAAACTTATATGAAGAATTAAATTTGGTCTTAAGTCGTAAGTCCTTTTTGTAAAACAGGCCCCTGTTCCTTTATGCATGTCAATATAGAAATGTTGCATTTTTCTTCTTTGATGTCATACAATCGCGTTAGTAACTAAGATTACCAACATTAAAATTAGATTCTCTTAAGATTTTGGCAACTTAAAATTGCGTGTCAACATTTTGCATAATGATATAAATAAGTCGCCTGTCTACGTAAATATGTTGTATATTACTGTAAGTCTAGCATGTAGAGGGCAGAAGTATGCCGCCATAAAAATCATTGATTTTTTATTAACACAAATACCTGTAATATACATTCGAAGATTTCTTGTAATTGTACAGAATAACATGACGAGGAAGTACGTGAATCATTTATTACTGGATGACCGCTGTTATTTCAAAAGAAACCTGAGCGTTTTTCTCATTTGCACACACATAAGTGCATCATATTTCATTATTGAAACGACAGTAGGACGGACAAAAACCTTGACGTTTTTCTGTGACAATAATCAATAGCTTTGCTTGATCGTCTCGGAGTATTGGTCTGTCAGTGGCACTAAATCTGCCTCTACCTCAATCGCATCATCTCGGGTCATTCCGTCAGGGGTCGGATATATTAACATCACCGGATGTTAAAATTTTATACATTTCCTGTTTATTCAAATGTAGTCGGAAAGTCCCTTCTTTAGTATATTTTAGGTAATAGCATTACATTGAATAAAGTTAAACTCCATATTCCACAGATAAAATGTCTCCATGCATTTATTTCAAAGATTGAAAAAGGGGGGTTGTCTGTACCAAGACTTCATCAATGCTTTCAAGTGAGGAAGACTCGGAAACAAGGCTGCGAATTCAGTTATAACTTCTGATTTCATTTTGTGCAAATCTCGTACTGTTTGTGAACTTATATTACAACATGCAATCAGAGCAAAGTTATCGGTGATAGGTATATGAAATAATAACAGACGAAAGCTTATCAATTACTAAAAAAGAGTCTTTGCAAAATTTGTGCAGAAAAAAGGATTTCTTCGATTTTAACTCAAACCATAGAAATACTGACTTATTCTTTTTCCTTTGAAACCTTTATGAGTTACACCATTTAGCTAAAACATGTTATTTAAAAAACGCGTTTAACTTTAAAAACTTCTGCTAACTTCAATTTTTATCTCGACAAGATAAGAGTTTTTTGCCATAAAATTTATCTTTATGGTAGAGTGAGCCCTTGCTCCTTTTTTGTTGAAAAAAAGATACGTACATTTTTAAACACATTTAAAAGATATACTAAAGAAAATGTAGCAAGCACCTACTTAATATATAGGAAAGATCTTGTTAGTCTTTTTATCAAGATTTTTTATTGCCCTCTTGGTATATGCAAGTTATTTCATATAGTTTTTACACCTGTAACGTTGCCAAATTTGAAGAATTTACAGGAAGTTCTGTTTGTGTTATTATAAATGCAATATGTGAGAAAATTGAGCTAATATGGGGACGTCTTTCACCTTATTTATAGAACAGTAAGCATTTTTCTCCGACAGCTAAATTGGCCTATTTTCTTACAGGAGGCAATGAAGAAGATCTGCATGTAAAGATGACAGAACAGCAATTTTTATTTTAAAGATTTTATCGTGTGAATGGCAAGGTTAGACTGATTGAGATTTTTTGAAAAAATAAGAATTTCAGTCACCTTTTTTAACTAATAGAATACAAAATATTCTTCCTTATTAAAATTTATATTGATCCCAATGATACGTAAAAAAAAACAATATAATGGAAACACTGTCTGAAAAATGAAATGTTCTTAATAATTTCTTCAATGATATATATATGAAGATAACGAACAGTATTCAAGATCAAAAGTCCATACAACAAAGCAATTCAGCTCTTTTCTCTCAAAATATTCTTAAAAATGAAATAATGCCTATAACTGATTATTTTGTTTGAGGTAATAAAGATTGATTTTCTTTTGTAGGTGGACGATGAAGGTTACTTTCCGGGGTGTCATTATCTGGCTCGCCGCCATAGGCTTCATGGCGCTCGTCTGGAATATGAGCTACGGCCAAGGCGATATAAATACTCCGCAAAGATCAGACTCTAACTACCCTGTACACGAATTCCATATACCGACGGTAAAGTATGACCCATACAAAACGTCAACTCCAAAAGTATCATATAACATCAAAGATCACATACGCGATCCACATCCAATCAGAAAGGTGGATAATATAGACAAAATGTATTCACAAGCAAAGCAGGATCAAGTTGTGTACGATATTTTAAAAAAGGATGGTGGATTTTTTGTGGAGATTGGTGCGTTTGACGGACAATTCCTTTCCAATACGTTGTGGTTAGAACGTAAGCACAACTGGACGGGACTTCTTATCGAGGCTAATCCGGATCTCTGTCAGAGAATAGATAAAGTTCAGCGCCATGCTTGGAGAATGTGCGCGTGCCTTTCTAGTGCAACAAATCAAGTAACCTTTATAAAGGGAGAAGCGGTCGGTAGTGCGAAAGAATTCGTTAATGAACATCATGCAAAGCTTTTAAACAAAAGTAAAACAGTGACAGTTCCATGTTTTAGTTTGGAAGAAGCTTTAAATCACGTTAAACGAAAACACATTGACTTTTTTTCGTTGGATGTAGAGGGCGCAGAAAAAATGGTATTGCAGTCACTCCGAAAAGGGCTTGAATCTCAATTATTCACTGTTGATGTTTGGTCAATTGAGTATAAAGTTTATGATGGAAGTAGAAATGTAATTGAAGAATCTAGAAAAAATCTTCAGTTTTTGAGAGCCTACTTTCAGACCCTCGGTGGATACTTCGAACACTCTCAGTTGGAACCTCTCGTTCCTTCCCCGCAGGATGGCACTGCATTAGATGTGGTGTTTGTTCGTAAAGATGCCTGGTGTAAGTCTCATGTCAGTCTACCAGACGGAACCACTTGTCCTGGTAAAACCGTTGAAATAAAAAACTACATAAAGGAACCCTCTCCTTATAAGATAAGAAGCAATGTGGACAAAAGATACTCACAGGCGGGCCAGGATAAAGTTGTGTATGACATTCTTAACAAGGAAGGAGGCTTTTACCTGGAAATCGGCGCCTATGATGGAGAGGGTCTGTCTAACACAGTGTGGCTAGAGCGAAAGCACAACTGGACAGGTCTGCTTATCGAAGCTAATCCGGATCTCTGTAAACGAATAGATAAAGTTGAACGCCGAGCTTGGAGACTCTGTGCTTGTCTTGCAAGTTCAACCAAGAACGTTACATTTATCAAAGGCGAAGCTATTGGTGCTGTGCAGGAAGAGGTTGATAAACATCATGTCAAATGGATAAAGGGAAAAAACCTTGTACCTATTCCATGCTTCAGATTAGAAGATGTTCTTAAATATATAAAAGTCAATCATATTGATTATTTTTCACTAGATGTTGAGGGCGCAGAAAAAAGCATCTTGCTAGCCCTACAAGACAGTCTGAAAAAGAAAGTATTTACTGTTGACTTGTGGACGATAGAATATAAAGTTTACGATGGACAAAGAAATGTCATAGAAGAATCTGTGAAAAATTTGAAATTTTTACGTGAGTATTTTCAGGATGTCGGTGGATACACCGAACACTCCCAGTTAGAACCTCTCGTACCATCTCCTAAAGATGGGACTGCATTAGATGTTGTGTTTGTTCGTAATGAAGTTTGGTGTAAGTCTCATGAAAAACTGCCAAATGGAAAAGACTGTTCAGGGAAATCAACACCAACTAAGTCTTTCAGTCTTACAAACTACATAAAGGAACCCTCTCCGTATAAGAAAAGAGAAAATGTGGACAAAAGATACTCACAGGCGGGCCAGGATAAAGTTGTGTATGACATTCTTAACAAGGAAGGAGGATTTTACCTGGAAATTGGCGCTTATGATGGAGAGGGTCTGTCCAACACAGTGTGGCTAGAGCGAAAACACAACTGGACAGGTCTGCTTATCGAAGCTAATCCGGATCTCTGTAAACGAATAGATAAGTTTGAACGTCGTGCTTGGAGACTCTGCGCATGCCTTGCGAGTTCAACGAAGAACGTTACATTTATCAAAGGCGAAGCTATTGGTGCTGTGCAGGAAGAGGTTGACAAACATCATGTTAAATGGATAAAGGGAAGAAATCTTGTACCCATACCATGCTTTAGGTTGGAAGAAATTTTAACCCATATAAAAGTCAACCATATTGATTATTTTTCACTAGATGTTGAGGGCGCAGAAAAAAGCATCTTGTTAGCCCTACAAGACAGTCTGAAAAAGAAAGTATTTACTGTTGATGTATGGACTATTGAATATAAAGTTTACGATGGACATAGAAATGTTATAGAAGAATCTGTGAAAAACTTGAAATTTTTACGTGAGTATTTTCAGAATCTTGGTGGTTACACCGAACACTCCCAGTTAGAACCTCTCGTACCATCTCCTAAAGACGGGACTGCATTAGATGTTGTGTTTGTTCGTAATGAAGTTTGGTGTAAGTCTCATGACAAATTACCGAACAACGCACCCTGTATAAAATAAAAACATTTTGTACTAGTTTTACTCTCTCTGAATTTTGACTATTTATACCCGCACTTTCTAAAGAAAGTTCGGGTATATTGTTGTTACTCATGTCCGTCTGTCCGTCCGTCCGTCTGTCACACTTCCCTGTACTTCTCCTACATTTTACATAGTAGCCTAATCATCTTTTGGGAGATGGTTTGTGGTGTCATGTAGATGTGCAGTAAGATTTTTGAATTTTGATTTTGCCCCCCGGGGAGGGGGGTCAAATGGGGGTCGAAAAATGACGTTTTTTATGCAAAAGCCCCGTCTTCCCTGAACTCCTCCTACATTTTACACAGTAGCCTAATCATCTTTTGGGAGATGGTTTGTGGTGTCATGTAGATATGCAGTAAGATTTTTGAATTTTGATTTTGCCCCCCGGGGAGGGGGGTCAAATGGGGGTCAAAAAATGACGTTTTTTATGCAAAAGCCCCGTCTTCCCTTAACTCCTCCTACATTTTACACAGTACCTTAATCACCTTTTGGGAGATGGTTGGTGGTGTCATGTAGATGTGCAGTAAGGTTTTGGAATTTTGATTTTTCCCTGGGGGATCAAATGAGGGTCAAAAAATGACGTTTTTTATGCAAAAAGCCCCGTCTTACCTGAACTCCTACATTTTACACAGTAGCCTAATCATCTTTTGGGAGATGGTTGGTGGTGTCATGTAGATGTGCAGTAAGTTATCGGAGTTTTGATTTTGCCCCGGGGGATCAAATGGGGGTGGAAAAATGACGTTTTTTATGCAAAAAACCCTGTATTCCCTCAATATTACTCAGAAGCCTAATCATCTTTTGGGAGAGTTAAATATATTGAAAATTAGGTAAAACATCAACGTCAAGGGGTAAAAAAGCATCGCATGCTGGGAATCATCTTGAATTCTTATGAGTAATTAATGTACATGTCAAATGTGAGAGTCATATCTCTTCTCAATCAAAAGTTATAAGCAAATGCAACATTTTTGAAAAGTAGGTTAGGCTTCAAGGTCATGGTCACAGAGTTAAAAGTCATGATTTATTTGGAAAGGTCTTATCACAGGTAATAATATACATGCATTATATTTATCTATTTTACCCCCACTATACTTAAAATTGTACTTACCGACTGTCATGGGTCATGTCAACTTCATGAAATATAATCCAATTATAACACAAAATGAATTAATTCAATGCACACCAGACTGCAGCATGTGCTTTTTCTGTCAGAGATATCGGCAAACCTTCATATTCCGTCACCTTATCAGATAATTTATTTGTTTGGTGTGAATACATGTTTAATCTAAAAATATGATAATATGGGTGACGCAACCCAATGTGATGTAGAAATTTTCCAAAAGGTGTTTACATGTTAACATGTATATTACAAGAACAAATTTTAAATTAATTCATAACAAACGATGTTTTAACAAAACTTTTCCATCTAACCTATTCCAAAAAAAGTATATGCTGTGTGTTTGTGATGTCGAGGGGGGGGGGATTAGTAAATTTAAAAAGGTCCTATTATGAGCAAAACATTTATCAAAATCTAATTTACATCATTAATTAAATTCAAACTGGTAATGAATTAAGCATGTAAAATACATATAAGAGGTTCTGAGTCATAGGTCACAGGGTCTGAGAATTTCATACTCAATTTGACGAATACATGTTCCGTGTAAATTATAGAATTATATTGACTTTTTCCTTGGAAAGCCAATATGTAGAAGTGTGTATTTAGAGGCAAACACCTTAGTGCGGGTATTACTGTCTCATGACAGCATCTAGTTTAGATTATTTTAGCTCAAACTGATGAAACTGTGTTTATATTAACTGTGGGTTTTATGTTGTGGGTATTAAGTATTTAAATTTTTATCCATATATTTAACGTGCATAATATTATGTTTCCTGGTGTGATTGATAGAAAAAAAAGTAATGATATGAATGAAGAAAAGGTGACAATGTAATTGACTTTCAAGTGTGTAGATGCAGCATCAGCAAAAATATTTTATGACGTATGCAAAGGGTATTTTTTAACTTCAAAAATATTTTCGTGTTCAATCATTGTTTTATTTTATCAATACATCGTATGTTATTCATTTTATTAACACGGCACTCATATATGATATTGAGTTATTGAATTTGTCATTTTTACTGTGTAAATTTTTACCTTTTACCTTACAAATATTATTCTGGTTTTTAACATTTGCTAGATGAATTAATACTGAGAGAGAGAGAGAGACAGAGAGAGAGAGAGGGAGAGGGAGATCATTGACACGTTTTTTTATTCCTCTTCAATTCATTAAGTGTATAGAACCTAAAGGATTAAACGTGTTGTTTGTCATTGCTAGCTGTAGGAAAATATCGTTTGACAAAACAAATTTATAGAGTATTACATTGCTTAAACCAGAATCAGGATCGTTTGTTTAGTTCTACATGACTGCGGTTTATCCAACCGTGAATGTTGTTGACAAACCTCGTCAGAGTAGTCTCCCCCTCTTAGCAGAGCTTTCTACATAAACACAAGTGGATGTTGAAATTTTGAAAGATTTTTTTAATAAAACTCTTGATTTGAATGTTAATAAGAAATCTGGGACGACATTTTTTTTCATCTTTATAGAAAATAATCTGCTTAAATAAATTTGTAGGTTGAGTGGGGAACAAAGGTTTGTCTGTCGTGTTTTACAGTGCTATAGTTCTAAATGCAGTATATTTTGCAATGTGTATTATTTTGATACGTGTGTTGTATATTGTGCTATTTTAACATAAGAATATAGATTTTATAAGAGATTTTAGAACTAAGTAAAATTTTATTGAGGTCTGCATTGTAGGAATTTATTTGTTTTAATTTTTCTACAAAAGAAACAATCAAAGCTTGTCTTTGTAAGCTAATACATGTATCTTATTGCGAGAAAGTTTCATAATAGTAAATAAAATGTGTTTTAACTTTAAGAGAATTTCATATATATCAAATATTTTTTGTATTTATTGAATTAACCTTATCATTTCAAAATAATATAACTGAAAACATGTCCAAAGTCAATAAAGTTATAGAGAACAGAAGTCACAGTTGTTTTTATTTGCATTGGAAGGATACATGCAAATGATGTATATTCCTTCAAAATCATCGTCTTAAATTCATAAATATAATCTTTTAAACATTGTGCCATGTACTTAAGACCTCTGTTAAATAAAGGGAAGACCAGTCAACGCTTTATTGTTTTACACTTGAGTCTTTTCAACTTCTCCAAAACTGAAAGCTTAGCAATCAGTACCAAACATAACCGAACTTCACACCCAGACTTGTATTTGAATAGACAAAAGATAAGTGAAGTGTCACATCATAAACACCTTGGATTACATTTTTCAGACAACGGTCATTGGTCATATCATGTTAATGTTGTCGTGGCGAAAGCGTCGTCTTAGTTACACATTCTAAGACGACTCAAATATTAATTAGACACAAAATCCTTAGAAAAACTATATTTCTCATTTGTAAGACCCGTTATTGAGTATGCAGATGTAGTTTGGGACAATATCCCAAATGATTTAGCTGATAAACTCGAAAAAATTAACACAGGCTGCTCGCATAGTCATAGGCGCGACTAAACTAGTAAGTTTATGAGAAGTTGGGTGGGATACGTTGCACAATCGAAGACAAAAACATGAAGGCAAACTTTTTCCACTACCAATTCCTTTTAATATCCATTTTTAAGCTTACAGTACTATATTTCCTTCATGATACTTTACTTTAGTATAAAGTGGGGGGCCAACCAGCCTTTTAATGAACATTTTCAATAGTAAAAGTTTTGTTGGCAATTTATTTGCAAAACATATAATAGATAGTCCTAATTGTGCTTGTGGAAAAATTGAAACAACAACACTTTTTATTAGAATGTCTTCTATATACTGACTGAAGGAAAAAATCATTGACCCATTAGGACCAGTCACTTTAAACATACTCTTATTTGGAGATTCAAGTAAGAATTATTCCTTCAATACCAACATCGTATTTAAACATGTACATCAATTTATTTCTGCCTCTAAAAGATTTGTAACTTGAACATTACTTGTGGTCGTATTGTTGTTATTGTTTGATCCTGTACTGTATTGTATTATTTTTATTCCTCATTGCTAGCGCTCTCTCGAGCGCTAGCAACTACGTTAGTCCAAATTCCTGGAATACGCTTGCTCGGCTTTATGCACGGTCGTGCATTCTGGGAAAACTGAAAACTACTATAGATAGACCGTACGATAACAACTTCGTTGTATCATTAAATAGCTGTTTATTTATTGTGTATTTTACACTTTAAAAATATCTACGTAATTATAATACTTCAAATTTTCTCTTTTTTCTGACGCAAAAGCCCGAGTCATAATCTGATTGTTCTAAACAAAAGCAAGGGGGGTTTTATTTACTTCTATGCACAAGATGGACTCTACACGTATATTTTCAAAACCTCACCACAGTAAAAATATATTTTATATGCTCGCAATCATGACAATGTAGGCCAAGCAAAAAAGTCCATTAACAAGGATTTACACTAAAAATCACGAGCAAATCCATTATTTATAAAAAAAATATTCTGTATGGCTTTTAACCCAACGGTCCTTGACAAAGATGACCCAAAGGGCCAAGCTACTTCACATCTTCTCATTCGGAACTCTCTGGAAACTCCAACTGGTCAACACAACACTTCACTGCCCCCCCCCCCTCGTTTTTTCACCTAGCTTTGTGTCCATAAAATACATTTCTCAAAAACATTAAAAAATTCAGCAAAACAAATCACTTGATCATGGACCTTCCTTTCTGTGTTTAAAAATTGCTACGGCGCTAGCTCACCTATCTTTTTAAAAAATAAATTTGTTTTCTATTAATGTTAATTCATTTTATGATATATCTCTTTAAAAGTTTTTTTTTCTCATTTTTGTTTCATCTTTATTTTTTTTCAGTTATTTTTCCTATTATACCTGTCATTCAACAAGGGCAAATGTTTATTTATGGTTGAAAGTTAATTTAAAACTGATTCATATAAGTTGTTACAACTTGTTTCCGAATCCTGTATGTATATATGATGTCTAATTTAAATGAAATAAAGTTTAAACTAACTTCTCCAAAAGTTTTTTAAAGTACTGTAAA